CACACATAAAAGAACTGGCAGAGGAACCCAGGTGTGTGGGACCCGGGGCTGAGATCTCCGAGCCTGCACGGTTTGGGACTGGACCTGCCAGTAGCTAGACAGTTACACCCACCAACTGCCGTGTAACTCCAACAACGGCCAGGATCCAGAGATTATCACACTCAGCTCCCGGAAGCGCGCGGCCGCGCGACATCTTACCATCTCATTCCTACTTTAGACAAACTGGCAGGCTACCGAATGTAACTTGCCCACACGGCAGAGTCTGGCAAACTCCCCATGGTATACCCAATATGCCAAATACCAGTAACAATGATGGGTCTCATTCTCCTAACCCTGAAAGAGCCTTGAATATGACACTTTTTAAAAAAATCTCAGGGCTAGGACGAAGGAGACGTTACCGGGGCCTGCTTGAGGCAATCGACGAACAACAGGATGGTCGTGATATATCTTGGGCTGGAGAGAGTAAAGCAGGTTGCCTTGCATGTGCCAGACCTGAATTCAGTCTCTGACACCCCATATGGTCCCTCAAACCCCACCAAGAGTGTTCCCTGAGCACAAAGCCAGGACTAAATCCTGAGCACTGCCAGATGTGGTCCCCCCCCAAAAAAGGTACATGTGTGTATAAAATTAGAATTACACTCACTATACAATACACTATACAATTACTGCTGTGACAGTACACTGTCCTCCTGTTGTTCATCGATTTGCTTGAGTGGGCCCAGTAACAGTCTCCATCGTGAGACTTGTTATTGTGTTTGGCATATTGAATACGTCACGGGAAGCTTGCCAGGCTTTACCTTGCAGGCAAGATACTCTCGGTAGCTTGCCGGGCTCTCCGAGAAGGTCGCAGGAATCGAACCCAGCTCGGCCAGGCTGGCCACATGCAAGGCAAACGCCCTACCACTGTGCTATCGCTCCTAAAAAAAATTACAACTTTTGTCTTTCCTGATTACCTTCAAGGTACAGTTATCAGTACTGTAGTCCTGTCCTCCCATTGTTCATCTATTTGCTCGAGTGGGCACCAGTAACCAACCTCTCCATTGTGAGACTTGTTACTGTTTTTGGCATTTTGAATACACCACGGGGAGCTTGCCAGACTCCGCCCTGCGGGCGGGATACTCTCGGTAGCTTGGCGGGCTTTCTGTGAGGAAGGAAGAAATCAAACCCGGGTCGGCCACGTGGAAGGCAAAAGCCCTACCCGCTGTGCTATCGCTTCAGCTCCAGCATGTAGTGTCTTCATTTCTTTATTTCAAATCATCAATGTTTGTATACTTTCCATAATCAAAAAAAAAAAACAATCATTCACTGTTACTGAGGAAAATTAACCATTACCACTGATCACATAACACATTTCCACCTTAATCATCAATCACATACACTTTCCTGATTAACACTTTAACTACCATCATTCATCAAGGTGTCAGACTTGAAGCACCCACCAGGAGTTCCCAGGGCCAAGGAAGCACAAGGCATTCCTTGTGCTTAATGACCATGCTCCTGAAGTCACATCCCAGGCTCCCAAGGTGAGGGGCTCAGGTTGTCTTCTAACACCTTATCATGGCTCTGTGCTCAGAGATCACTGTTGGTGGGGCAGGGGGTGGTCATATGGGGTGCTGGAGATCGAATTTTGGTTGGCTGAGTTCAAGGCATGACTGACCCCTATCCACCCCTACCCCCACCCCCACGTCACCTCAGCAACGCCATGAGTAAGCTCAGAGCTAAGGAGTTAGCCCTGAGCACTGCCGGGAGCGGCTTAAAACCAAAAAATAGGTTGGGGAGATAGTACCCAGATCAATATACCGAAAAATGTACTGTGGCGGAGTATGTAATTTAGTCCCAGAGAGAAGCAGTGTTTCAAGCAGATTTAATTGGTTTAATCTATTGCTCTGCCTGGATTGCACCGCCTGCCCTTTGAGAGTCATTTAGTCCACAGCCTACCAGTAGGTTCGGCACTGCAGCGTTGGGTGCAGACAAATCCACATCAGAACCTCTGTTTAGGTCCAGAAAGGCAAGGAAGGAATCAAACAAAAATCTTCCCAGTTACAGCACCTCTGACGCCTGAGCGAAAGTATTCGTTCCTTCCGCGGCAAAGAGAGGGACTGTAGAAAAGGTTAATACGCTTAGAGGCGTGGATATGCAAATTATGCGCGCACTGACTGCTGGTTAGTCATTTTATAGGATAAAACTTATACCTATTCCTATACTGAATACAGGAAATGATATATTTTAATCTCTAATGTACTAGTATTACCATAGTTTAAACTGAATACGAAAAATAGGAAGAATACGACAAACCATAAGTAAGAAGTGTGTTGACGATCAGGTTGAGGTTCTATGGGCCACTAGCAACTCATACTTACCTGGCAGGGGAGATACCATGATCACGAAGGTGGTTTTCCCAGGGTGAGGCTTATCCATTGCACTCCGGATGTGCTGACCCCTGCGATTTCCCCAAATGTGGGAAACTCGACTGCATAATTTGTGGTAGTGGGGGACTGCGTTCGCGCTCTCCCCTGACGTTACTGGTATCAAATATAGAGCTTTCTGTATGTCTTTTGTGATCTTTGTTTGAGCTCCAAGTTAGTGTTAGTGAAGTATGATCGAAGGATTCTCTTTTCAGTTACGTAGTTGTTGGGGTCTGGTGTGTTTTGGAGCGGTAGCACTTGGGTAGGCCGTTTTCTTTGCACGCCGCCGACCTGGGTTCGGTTCCTCGTTCTTGGAGAGTCTGGGCAAGCTACCGGTATTATGCTGCCCGTAGGCCAGAGTCTGACTGACTCCCCGTGATGTATTTGATATGCCAAAAAGAGTAACAATAAATCTCACAATGGAGACGTTACTGGTGCTTGCTCGAGCAGATCAGTGAACAACGGGTCGGCAGTGCTGCAGATAGTCTTATATGCGGTATTTTCAGAACTGAGGTTAACCGTTGTCACTGTTATGGGCCTTTAGGGGAAACATGAGGTTTTATGTAAAATGAAGTGTGGCCCTGTATTTGTGTAACTGCAATAAAATAAAAAGTGCTCTTAGAATAGCACATAATAAAGAACCAGAGGCCTGGAGGAATACTAACAGCAGCTTAAAGTCAGTAATCAGTTTTGCTCTCTATGATCCTGTACTCTGCACAGCTAGCAATAAGTTCTGAGTACAGTTCAGTATAACCTCCCCCCTCCCCCATATAGATAAAAATAAAAGGATTAAATTTGGCTCAACAGGAAAACGTGTCCTTTGTTTGTGGGACTCGAGTTTGACCCTGGGCACCAAAGTGGAGATAGTATAGCTGTTCAGTGCCTGGAATGCTCTCTCCTCAATCCAGGTTCACTTATTGGCACCACATGGTCCTTGAACATTGCCATCTGGGCACTGCCAGGTATTGCCCTGGAGGTTCCCATTACCACCAAGGGTCTCTCTGGTACTACAGGGTACATATAATGGTCCTGGGGCCAATGTGTTGAACCCAGTTAGTAGAGAATTGTTTGACAGGAAATCTCCACCTCTTGAGCACCACTTGGGAGGTCTCCTCCATCCTCAAATAATAGAAAAAATAAAGATTGGCCCAGAGAAAACCTACGGGTTGCAGTGTGTGCTCTGGTTATAGGATTCTCAGGAAGACACTTGCTTTGCAGGCAGCCAACTTGGTTCACTTCCTGTTACCACATATACCCCAGTGTGTGTCAGTCTTGAACACAGCTGTGTGTGGCCTAAAAGCAAAGATAAGTCAATAAATAAAACAAAACAATATATTATATATAGAATTACTGCATCAATTCGCCGGTCTATCTCCCAGAGAATTGAAAACAGGATTCAAAGAAAGTTTTGTACATGAATGTTCATAGTGGCATTATTCCTTTCATAAGGATGGAACCATCCCTTTGCCATCAATAAATGCATAAACAAAATGGGATGTATACATACATAATGTAATACTGTTGTACTTTTATTTTTGGGGACGCCACACTTGGCAGTGCTCAGGGCTTACTCTATCTAGACTCTGCACTCAGGGATCACTCCTGGCCGGTGCTCAGGAGACACTATGGAAGGGTGGGGATTGAACCAAGGTCAGTCACATGCAGGCCAAGCACCTTACCTTCTGTACTCTCGCTCTGCTCTGGCTATTATATTAAGGCTTTATTTGGAGGATGGGTCACAACTGATAGGCTCAGAGTCTACTTTCTGTACTATGCTTGGGAGAAACCATGTAGTGCTAGGAGTCAAAACAGAATTTGCTGCATGCAAAACAAGCATCTTAACGCCTATACTATTTCTTTGGCCCCCTATAAGGTTTTAAAAGAGGATGTAGGAAATAGCACTTCTGGGTCTGGCCCAAAATTCAAAAATAATTTTAAAAAGGGGGGCCGGAACAATAATACAGCAATTAGTGTGGCCCAATATTTGCATTTGGGTATTAACCTTAACTTTTCAAAGTTAATGCTCACTGTGGAGTTCATGCACAATTCAATCAGCTAATCAGTGGCTGAATAAATAGCAGTACTCCTACATTTAAAAAAAAAGTTAATGCTCACTAAATTATCTTTTAGGAGGCACACCCATTCGTGTTCAGGGGCTATTTCCATTTCCAGCTTTGTGCTCAAGGTTCACTTCCAGTGGTGGTCAGGGCATAGTGTGGTGCCACACAAATTGAACCCAGACCTGTGGCCTACAGACTACATGCTCAGATCATCGAGCTATCTTTCTGGCCCCATATTCTAATTCTCTTTAATTAAATATATACATTTATTTACCTAATTTGATTCCCCAGTAGTTATCACTTTTTCAATCCTGGAAATTGGTAGAAAGTATTTTCAGATCTCTTATTTCAATAGTAACATTGAGAATAAACATTAATCTTATAGAATGTCAGTAATTGTTTCCCTAATAGTGTTAATTTTAAATGAAAGTGAACAATAAATAAAATACATATGCATGTACAGCCCTTTATTGTTTCTCATGTGGGCTGAACTTTGATTCACTTCGAATAACCATGTGCTTTCTTTTGAAACAGGATGTCTCGGGCTGTTAATCTTACAGTTCCCTGCCCTGTTCAGCTTGGTTCCTTAAGAAATGACTCCTTGGAAGCTCAGCTTCATGAGTATATTAAACAAGGGAACTATGTAAAAGTGAAGAAGATTCTTAAGAAAGGTAAGCACGATTACCTTTAAAACAACAGGTTCATCTTGGTCCACTTTTCTCAAAAGCACTGGAAGGAAAACCAGGGACATCATAAAATTAAGTTCAGAGGGGAAATGCAGAGTTAATTTTAGAAATGAGATGTTCTTGGGACTGGAGAGATCTACAGAACTCAGAGTGCTTGCTTACCTTTCAAACGAATGACCCTTGCACTGCACATGATTTTAAGCATTGCCATTCTCCCAGAAGTGACCACAGAGCACAGGGCAGTAGTCCCTGAACACCACTGGGACTGGTCCCCAAATCCATATATATCTATTGGTTTTACACCCACACACAGAGATGTTCAGGGATTACTCCTGGCTCTCTGCTCAGAAATTTTTCCTGATGTGGCTCAGAGGCCCATATGGGATGCTGGGGACTGAACCCTACCTGCTCTGCTATCACTCCGGTCCTCCTTCAACATTTTTGTTTTGATTTTTGTGCCAAATTCTAAGGTTCTCAGGGTTTATTCCTCACTCTCTACTTAGGTGTGACCCCTGACTGTGCTCAGGGAACTATCTGCCTTGTCAAGCAGATAGTTAACCCCTCTGCTATCTCTCTGACTCCTAGAGGTCTTATTTTGTTTGTTTGACCACACCTGGTAATGTTCAGGGATTACTCCTGACTCTGCACTCAGGAATTGCTTGAAAGACCATATGGGATGCTAGGGATTGAACTAGGGTTGGCAGCGTTCGAGGCAAGCATTGAACCCATTGTATTATCTCCAGCTCCTCCTCGAGGTCTTTAAGCAGCTGTTTGAAGGCTGTTTTGTTTTATTGGGAGTTATGATTATTTTTCCCTGAGTAATCAGAAGTCTTAGATTTCATCTCTTTCTCTTCTAAATACTGAAGAGGAAGCTCTGAAGCTTCTTGAATGTTTTTTGGAATAGTCATAGTGACCTATTTTTTTCTACAACATTTTTACATCTATCTTAGCATTATTCCTGTGCACTCTGTAAAGTAACCCAGTTTCTTTTTTGGTCATTGTGCTGAGGATTGAACTCAGGGCTTCTAGAGAGAATGGAGTGTGACAGGAATGTGAACTATTCCTTAGAGCTATCTCCTTGGTGGTTGGATTTTAGAGCCATGCCCAGAGGTGTTCTGGGCTTAGTACTGGCTCTGTGCTAAAGGTTCACTCCTGGCAGTACTCAGGGGACCATATGCGATACTTGAGATTAAGCCAGGGATGATTGCTAAACGCCAAATTTTGTAGTATCTACTCCATAAAATAGTTTTTAAAAAAATCAACAAAAAGTTCTCAAAGTTGTGGGTCAGATTGAGATAGTACAGTGGGCAGGGTGTTCACTGTGCATGTGACCAATCCAGATTCTATCTCTGGCACTCCATATTTTCCCTAAGCCGTGCTCAGAATGATCCCTGAGCGCAGAGGCAGGGATAAGCCCTGAACACAGCTGGGTATGGCCCAAAAAGACAAAACAAAACAAAAAATATCCAAAAAACCCCAAAATCCCTAGCACTGCATCCCCTAAAACACCAGCAGGGGTTAATGTAGGGTGTGGCCCAAACTCCATTTATATTCTTGGCCAGGGACATAGCTCAGCAGTGTAGTATGTTTATGTGCATAGTGTCCAGTCAGCATAATAGCATCATAGAGGGAAGGGGTGGGAAAGATACGATACGTGAACCTGTGTAATGCTGTGATAGCTAGTGTCCATACTTAGCCAAGCATACTTAGGCTGAATTTAGAACATTTAGTATTTTTTTTCTTTTTTTTTTTCTAATTAGTGAAACACCATGGGGTACAGTTGTAGACTTACAGACTTTTGTGCTTGGGTTTCAGTCATACAATGATCGAGTACCCATCCCTCCATCAGTGCCCATTCTCCACCACCAATGATCCCAGTAGTCCTCCTCACCCATACCCCATCCTCCCCACCCCATTCCACCTCTGTGGTAGGGCATTCCCTTTTGCTCACTCTTTCCTTTAGGGTGTTGTAGTTAGCAGTAGAGGTTTTGAGTGACCATAGCCTACTTTCAGCATGCATCTTGCATTCCAAGAGCAAGTCCTCCAAACATCCTTTGCTTGGTGTTCCCTTCTCCATCTGAGCTGCCTTTCCCCCCAGCATGTGAGGCCGGCTTCCATGCCATGGAGCAGACCTCCTAGTACTTATCTTAATTATTCTTGGGTGTTCAGCCTCCATTCTGTTACTTTATATTCCCCAGATGAGTGCAGTATTTCTATGTCTGTCCCTCTCTTTCTGGCTCATTTCACTTAGCATGATACTTTCCATGTAGAACCACTTGTATATAAATTTCATGACTTCATCTTTAAAACATTTATTATTTTCTAGACATCTTTTGAATACTCTCTGTCTCAAAATCCATTTTGTTTTGTTTTGTTTTTGTGGTGCCGGGCATGGAATTCAGAATCCGGACGTGCAAAGCACGTTCTCTGCACCACATCCCTGATCTTGGCAACTTCAATTTTGTTGTTGTTGTTGTTGTTGTAGTAGGTTTTTTTTTTTTTTTTTTTTTTTTTTTTTTTGCAAAATAAATGCCTGTTCTATCTCTCTGGTCCAGAGCATACTTTTTGTTTGTTTGGCTTTGTTTTTTGGGCCACACCAGGCTGTGCTCAGGGCTTATTTCTTTTTCTTTTTTTTTTTCTTTTTTTCTTTTTGGGTCACACTTAGCGATGCACAGGGGTTACTCCTGGCTCTGCACTCAGGAGTTAATCCTGGCATTTCTCAGGGTGTAAGGTCCCTAGGGACCTTGAGGGAGATTCCAGAGTTAAAACTCTACTAATTAGTAACTCTCCCTTTCCTGCCCCCTCCCTAGTAGAGCCTTAGCTGTGAAGCCCTTTCTTATTGGGATGTAAATTCTGAAACCATTTGTTGACTCTTCCCTGCTGGGATGTAAATTCGGAAACCATTTGTTGGCCCTTCCTGATCTTTTACCTCTGTTAGGAACTTTTCCCCCTATTCGCTTCCACTGAATCAAAGGGAGCCAGGTGATAACCAAATGTCCGAGTTACCAGATACCCACTAGCCACAATGCCTATGTACTTAAATGCTGATCTTTGAATCTATAGGCTAAGGAGTGATTTACTACTTTCAAATGGGTTGGTTAAGAAAGTATATGTTGTTACAAATCTATTGGCTATGAAATATGCGGACTTTGCTATAACGGCCAGTGAAGGCCTATATAAGATCTCCTTTGAAGAAGTTCGGGGTCTTGCCTCACCTATCTAACCTGCATGTCTGTGTAGGCGGCTCGACCCTGGCTAGCCAGTCTCACAATAAACCTTGCTTGCATTCTCTGGAGTCTCTTTGTCATTAAAGGGAGACCACAATCCGCGTCCTAACAAGGGGACCATATGGGATGCTAGGAATGGAATCCGGGTCAGCCTTGTGTAAGGCAAACGCCCTTACCCCCCTGCTATCTCTCCAACTCCTCAGGGCTTATTTCTGGCTCAGTTGTTTAGATGAATTGGTAACAATGAAGTGTTTGCATTCTTTCAATAAAGAACTGTAGAGAGAGCATGCCATGAAGCCTAGTTTGATTCCCTGTACCACTTGTCCAGGCACCGCTGGGAGTAGCCTCTAGGCACCATAGTGTGTTGTTTCAAAATAAAATATGAATTAAAAAGTCAATAAAATGCATGTGCTAGCAGGCATGCAGGAAACCATCGTGCTTGTGATGATTCTTAGGTAATATTAAAAATGTACACCACTGCTTTCTCCCTCCTTTACTCTCTCGGGAAAGACATTGGTTTCTTTAATCTCCGTCCCTCCTGTTTGTCAGAGTTCTCCGACTGTGATAAGAGGTGAGAACTGAATTACTTTAGTTATGTAGTTTATTCTTTAGAAGCGCAGTAAGCCGGCCTGATGCAGCAGTTTAACGACTTCCCTTAGGAGTGGAAAAAAAATGTGCGCCGTGTGATTGGCTGTTAGGAAGTAATATGCTAATGAGCAAGTTTTGAAGTGTTTCTGAAGGAGTTAAAAATGTGTTTTGAAGTTACTTATAAGCAGATTATTAGAAATCAGGGAAAAACTAAAATGAATAAACTATCACAATGATATTTTTTGAATAAAAAAGTTAATTGATTACCCAGTAAATATATCACCATGACTGTAATGAATGTGTCTGCCATAGACCCAGCAGCAACGACCAACCTAACGTCAAGGCTATACTTTCAGGGATCATTTCTATAGTATGTTACTAGAGAAGTTTCTCTGATCGTGTAGAGCACCCGAAACCACGAGGAGGAGGCAGAGCATCCTCTCCTGAGCGTGAAGCCGGCTCTAGGTGTTGCTTCTGCAACTGCCTTTTGCCATTGATGATCGTTCTTCTCTTCCTTTGGAAGAGCGAGAGGGGGAGGATGCATTCTGAGTGGTTTCCTTGTCAACGTGTTTGGTTTTACCCATGTAGTTCTGACTGAGGCTAGTCTTAGTGTTTGCTTTACCATGTGCTTTTTCTATTGGGTGGCTTGTGGTGTTAGGTTATTTCTATATTATCTAACAGGTTATTTTGTTCTTAATTTAGCTTTGTCTTAGTGAGGTTCTACAGTGTTTGAATGTTGTGGACCAAGTTAAAGCTGCTGTTATGCAAAAATTGCATATGCGTCATCCAAAATATGAATGTAGCAGGTTTTCTTGCTTGGGGGTTTACATATATCTTGCTTGTATTTTTTTTTCAAATCCGAATTTTGGGCCCTATTAATAGGGAGGTACTCAAAGGTACTCCTGGCTCTGCACTCAGGGATCACTCTTGGCTATATGGGGTGCCAGGGACTGAAATTGGGTCATTTGCATGGGATCCAGGGATCAAACCCAGGTGGTCCACATGCAAGGCAAACTTCCCTACCCACTGTGCAATCTCTGCCCCCAGATTGTAACGATTTCCATCTATTTTACTGTATTGTTGTTACAATTATTATGATGACTAGGGGGAGTGGAGTGGGCCACAGCCAGTGGTGCTCCTGGATCAGTGCTTAGGGGTTTCTCCCGCCAGTGCCCCAGGCAAGATAAGGCCTTAATCTCTGTACCCAAATCTATTTTGGATGTTAGCTTGGGGGGGCGGACAAGGAGAGTGGGTGGAAGTGGAGGCTTCTGGGACCCGGCTGGAAGGTGTTGCCCATACAGCAGGGGATCATCCCAGGCGATTTGTGTGAAGTTGGAAGGCAGTAGCCTCAAGAAAAAAATCTGTTTTATTATTTCACCCCAGAAGTGCCTGGGAGTTTTAGGACTGGTTAAAAAGTCTGTGATATGCCCCAGCACGGTACAAACCTCGAATTTCACTAGCCCAGTGAGGCAGCCGTCAGACTGCACCTGGCATCCTCTTGCTCTGCCTGGCACAATGTGGGAGATGACCCCTTCCACCTGATTTCTAGGGGACCCCTGGGCTTAGGGTGCAGCCTGAATTGCTCTTTGCGGTAAAGGAAGGTCGGCCCGAGACTGTACCCAGGCCTTTTCATCTTCTTGCCCTTTGAAAAGAATTTTGGAGTAGATAATGTAACCTGCCCACACGGCAGAGTCTGGCAAACTCCCCGTGGCGTACCCAGTATACCAAATACCAGTAACAATGATGGGTCTCTTTCTCCTAACCCCAAAAGAGCCTTGAATATGGCACTTTTTAAAAAATCTCAGGGCTAGGACGAAGGAGATGTTACTGGGGCCTCCTCGAGGCAATCAACGGTCGTGATCGTGATCATGTATTGTCTTAGTGCTAAGCGTAACAACCATTTATTTCATTGTTCTAGTTTGTGCTTGCACAGGGCTGACCTGGGTTTTATCCTGGCACCTCATATATAGGTTCTCTGAGCACTACCAAGAGTAGTTGTTGAGGGGGCGGGATGGGAGAGATAGTGAGAGCATTGGAGTTGGGGATGGGCACTCTTGGAGGGATGGGTACTCGATCATTGTATAACTGAAACCCAAGCACAAGTCTGTAAGTCTACAACTGTACCTCATGGTGTTTTACTAATAAAAATTAAAAAATAATAATTGAATACAGATCCAGGTATAACCCTTGAGCATCAGCTGGGTGTGGCCTCAAAACATAAAAGCATTCTTATTCTCAAGCAGTCAAAAAGGAAGGGGTAGGAGAGCAAATGGCCAAAATTAGTGTAAGACTATTGGTGCCGGAGCAGTAGTACAGCCAGTATAGGGTGTTTCTTGCACGCAGCCAACTTGGGTTTGATCCCAGGCATCCCATATGGTCCCCCAAGCACTGCCAGGGAGTTCCTGACATGCAGGGTCAGGAATGTGATTCCCCCCCCCCCCAAAAAAAGAGTATTGGGGCTGGAGAGATAGCACAGCGGGTAGGGCGTTTACCTTGCACGCAGCCGACCGGGTTCGATTCCCAGCAACCCATATGGTCCCCTGAGCACCGCCAGGAGTAACACCTGAGTGCAGAGCCAGGAATAACCCATGTGCATCACCAGGTGTGACTCAAAAAGAAAAAAAAAGAGTATAACACTATCGTCTTAAAACTGTGTTGAAGTGTCTTCAGGGACTGAACCAGATATTCTGATTGGCTGTCGGTTCATGATAGGATAATTAAGACTGAAGTGCTATTTTAAAAAATTCCCAGGAGATTTCAAAATTTATTTTAAAACTACACAAAAATAAAACTTGAAGATGCATTTTTAAATGATATTTCTGAAGGAGAATAACTTCAGTTGTGGGGGGTGGCCAGAGGGGAATATCACCACAACTAAAATGAGAGTGGCTGCTGTAGACCCAGCAGCTCCTGGCTGGCCAAAATAAGACTATACTTTCAGGGATCATTTCTATAGTATGTTACTAGAGAAGTTTCTCTGATCGTGTAGAGCACCCGAAACCACGAGGAGGAGTCAGAGCATCCTCTCCTGAGCGTGAAGCAGGTTCTAGGTGTTGCTTCTGCAACTGCCTTTTGCCATTGATGATCGTTCTTCTCTTCCTTTGGAAGAGTGAGAGGGGGAGGATGCAGTCTGAGTGGTTTCACCTATGGGCTTCTGACTAGGCCCAATTTTAGTGGTTGTTTTAGGCTATGTTTAGTATAGGTTTGTTTGCAATTTGTGTTTTCCTTTGTCTTTTCCTATGGGGTGGGTCGTGGCACTATATTACTTCTATATTGTTATTTGATAGGTTGAGTTGTTTTCTTCCTAGTACTGTTTTGTCTTAATGGGGCTCCACAATAAATGTTTGCTGATAATGTCTAATTTTGGGAACCAAGTTAAAGCTGTTGTTACACAAAGAAAGAGTATAAGACTATTGTGAAGCAAAAAAGAAAGGTACAGGCAGCTGATGGAGTTCATGCCCTGTCATTCCATATGGTCTGCAGTCACAACTCTTATGGGCCCACTATATGGTTCCCACCATATAGGATCACCCTGAGTTCAGTTAGAAGTAACTCCTGAGCACCACCAGGTGTGTGGCCCGTAAGCCAAAAAAACAAAAGCAGAAACTACCTATGGACTGGACTGGAGGTAACAGTCCAGCAGATAAGGTGTTTCTGTTTCACTTGCATGTAGCCAATCTGGATTTGAACCTCGGCATCTAATATGGTCCCCCAAACTCTAGCAGTGATCCCTGAGTACAGAGCCAGGAATAAACCCTGTTGCACAGCAGAGTGTGGCCCTAATCTAATCAAACTGATGTAGGTCGGCCCTATGGGTGGTTTATGTGAAGGGGGAGGAGAAAGACAGTCACTTGCTCCCAATCCGCCTCTGCCACCCTGACCCAGGGTTACTGGGTTCTTGTCTCGCCTCAAAGAAAAGAATTTTAGAAGTAGACGAGCAGTGAAATTGATGTAGGTGGACCCCATGGGTGGCTCACATGATCAGGAGAAAGACACTTTCTCCCGATCCACCTTTGTCACCCGGGGCCCAGGGTTACTGGGTTCTTGTCTTGTTCGCAGAAAAGAATTTCAGGAGTAGGCAAGCAGTGAAATAAAACAGATTTTATTTGGAGGATTCTTGAAGGGAAAGAGAAAGAATTGGGAGAGAGTGGAAGAGTAAGAGAGCGAGTAATGCGCTCAAGAGAGAACGTGGATTTCTCCAAGGGTTAAGAGAGCCCCTACACACACCCCAGCTTTAGATAGGAAAGCATAAATGTACACATCTCGAGGGGAGATGCTGGCGACGCATGTGCTCAGGCACCACAGACGCAAGGCCACGCAGACGCAAGCAGTGCATGGGCTCAGGCAGCATAAGGGCACCCTTTCTTTGTCCAAGGTGTCTTTTATAGGCTCTTCTCAGGCCTGGATCACATTTTAATCAGATTAAGGGAGAGATCCAAGGATTTAAGGAACTTCTGAGGGATCTAATCTCCTCAAGGGTCTGCTGAAGGTCTAATCAGGTCTGTTTTCTGTATCCAGGGGTGGATCAGTTTTAGGATTTTCCTCCCAGAAGTTCTGTTGTTACCCAGGGCCTTTGCCTGTCTATCTGCCTACATCAAAATGAAAGTTTTTGTTTTGTTTCGTTTTGTTTTGTTTTGTTGCATCACACCCGGCAATGCTCAGGGGTTACTCCTGACTCTGCACTCAGGAATTACTCCTGGCGGTGCTGGGGGACCATATGGGATGCTAGGAATCAACCTGGGTTGGTGCAAGGCAAACGCCCTACCCTGCTGTGCTATCACTCCAGCCCCCATGAAACAGATTTTATGTGGAGGTTTTGAGGGGGAGGAGGAAGAGAAAGTGGGAGAGAGTGGAGAGTTACATGCTCAAGAGAGAACCCAAGAGGAGAGAGAGCCCTTACACACATCCCAGCATTAGACATGAAAGCATGAAAGTACACATCTCAAGAGGGGTGATGTGGGCGACACATGTATGTGGGTGACATGTGCTCCGGCACCACATGTCCCCACCCCTGTGGGCACAAGTAGCACATGTGCACGCCTTTCCTTTGTTCAAGGTGGCTTTTATAGGGTTTTTGGAGCCTGCCCCGCTTCTACCTAGCTAAGAGTCTGTTGCTAGGGTTGTTGCTAAGTGGGTAGTTGCATGCTACCTTTGAAACTCCTTTTCTTCACCTTTGTTTCTGGTGGATCTTCTCTCCAAGGGTGGGCTCTGTCTTCTCTGGTCTGGTCTAGTTAAGGGTTAATCAGATTAAAGGAAGGAATTGAAGGTTCTCCAGTAATTTCCTTCAGGCTCTTTCTGTAGGGAGGGGTCCAGTCTCCTTGGGATCTGTTGCTGAGGAAGGTCTTATCAGGTCTTGCTTTCAGTATCCAGGAAGCGGGTCAGCCTAGAACTTTCCTATGGGGGGGCAGGGAGGGGAGGGGGGAGTCAGCCTTAGGACTTTCCTGTTTGTGTGTGGAGAGGGAGAGTCAGCCTTAGGACTTTACTGTGTGCTTGTGTGTGTGTGTGTGTGTGTGTGTGTGTGTGTGTGTGTGCGCGCGCACATGCTGCCTATGTC